CCGGGGACGGCAGGCCCCGGGCAGCCCCTGGCCGCTCCCGGGCCTGGCCTGGGACAAGAGCCCGGGGCCCCCGCAGGTGCAGGACAGACGTGAGCGGCCCTGGCCGTGCCCGGGGGCTCCGAGCGGCCGCTGCTGGGGGCAGCCGGCCCCGGGCCGCCATCTCTGGACACGGGCTCGTGTCACCACCCGCGGCTTAGGTGACAATGGGCGAACCGGAGCAGCAGTGGTCCTCTGGGGACCCGCGTCTCTCAGGGCCAGAGACCCAACTTTTGTGTACAGGTTATTTAATAGTTTGGTTTGAATACAAGTGTTTTTTTTTCTTGTCCTTGGCTCCATGCGGGGGCTCCAGCATGAGATGTTTCTGTAAAGCGACCTGCAACTGCAGCGTGAAAATAAATACATTAACACTGGGGTCACGTTGGGAAGATCCCACTGAGTCGGTCTCATTTGATCTTTTCTTCCTCCCGAAAGCTTTACAAAACGCCCCAGTTTGAAGAACTGTTTTCTCGTTTATTTAGTCTGAGCAAACTCCTAGGCCACATTTATTTGGTAACCTCCAGTTGTTGCAATAGCGTGAGCCACAAGCTGTTCCCCACATTTCATGCTCTCAGATTGCTTTGACAAGGCAAGGCAAAGTTTTCTAAGCATCCCGTCAGGAAAAAAATACTGTGAGTAGCAGGACTGGAAGGAAGACCAGTTTCAGCTGAGTCCACTCCCAGTCCAGATGATGAGGATTAGTTACTCCAAATGTAACAGTAAACTTGAATTTAACAGGGGTGGGGATCCACAGGACCAGCAGTTGAGACCTATGCTATGCTTTGCAAACAGTCCTTTAGAAGCCTGATCTGGTTGAGGCTGATCCTGTGCTGAATATATATTTTTGGCAGACAAGTCATGGGCATAGAAGAGGAACAAACATAACTGGCATCTTTTCAAAGATCAGAAGCTACAAACTATATTCTGAATCTAAGGAAGGTGAGAATAGTTAAATACCCCATTTTTACATTAAAAGAAATGCATGGTGGTATGATATAGTGGGTGAGCTTTAACTAAGCATTTCCTGGCTTTTGTTTATGTCACCACAGGAGGATAAAATGCTTTCTGTATAAAAATTTCCTCTTGTTTAACCCTTGCTCTTATTTTAGAAGCAGGGTATAGACAGCACTTATTTGCTTGCCCAGGATGCCAAAATGGCTGTCACTGTCCTGAATAATCAAGCTCTAGGAATACTTTCACATGCTGTTTCAGTTTAAAATAACATTTATCCAATACACTAAGCATTATTTAAAGCATATTAGTACTCATCATGCACCTATATAGGTACATAATCTTGGCAAAATATATTTAAAAAATAGTTACTGTATTTTTAAATAAAATGGAAAGATATTATGAAAATCAAACCAACCAGACACTTCATTACTCCCTCACCAAAATTCACTCTTTAAAATAGGGAATGCAAAACAAAAGAATTGTTTTTATATCCAGTAAACTTTCTCAACTACTTATTAAAATAGTGAAGTTGAAGGTTCTTTTCCTGATTTGGTAGACACTTATATTTATATTGTATTTTCAGTGTCAAACTTTAGTCTGTTTGCCCTGGAACTTTTAACCAAGTATTGAAAGTAGATGTTTTATTTGTAGTTAAAATGATAAGAAGTGTAAAATGGTTTGTATTTTATATAACAGTTCTGACTTCAGTCTGGAAAGAATCACATTCAAGAGTGATCAACTGAACATCAACATCTGAAACAGGAAATGATGTCTAATGTGCATTTCTCTTAACTAGCACATTATATCTATACAGCAATATATTAACTTTTATGATCCTAAAATAACTGTTTAGGGGCAAAGTCCTAAATTAATAAAGGACATAATGAGCTATTTATTAAGAGATTATTTTATATCTATTATTTTAGAGTATTCTATGACAGAAATGCCAGTAATTACTGCATTTTGATAAATATTCATTTTAAACGTTGGGCTGCTCTAGCATGCACTCTTAAGAACATACTATCTATATTATAAAGAACACTGTTGTATCCACAGAGTAAGTGCTAGGAATAGGAGAGAATGATAAAAGCAATGAAGAATCTGACCCAGAAGTCCTTATTTAGATATAATTTTCACTGGAACAAGATTATGCCCTAAGTGTGGAAACAGCAGTATATAAAATACCAGTTCTTAAAGATTCCCTAGTCTAAAATAGACACTGCTCTTCCTTCCTTTGCAATTAAGTTACACTTAAGTGGTTAGTAAAACGGGCCCAACAAAATGTACAGGAAAGTATCTGACTTAGTACTGTTTTAAATAAGAGCTTGTTTCACAAACAAGGGATATTAGTCGTTTTTAAAGGTCATTTTGTTCCATGTCCAATTCATATTTGTTTTCAGTGGAAATGGACAGTAACAGAAAGTGCAGTTATAGGTAGTAATATGGGAAAGGACAGTACCATAAAGTTTTACAGTAGGAAAGATTTATTTATTAGATAATATAATGGACTTTGATGTTGGCACAGGATCATGCTCTTCTGCTGCTAAACAAGTGCCAAGATCAGGATCAAGCATTAATATGAAGTGAAGTGATATGTTTGTTATTTTATAGCAGGAGTTTTGTCTGAGTAAGAACTCTTATCTCTGATAATGTTCCATTAAAATGACTTTATCTTATTATGCCAAATAAAGTTAATATTAAAGTCTGATGGTCCCTGATACTGCCGAGTGGCAGTTTCTAAACAAGACCAGTCTGGAAAGATAATATCCTCATAGATTAGAGCATGGATTTTGAGTGTAGTTAGTCAAAGACCAGATTATTTGTAAAAGTTCATCTTCTGAGATTACTGTGTTTTGGTTTTTTGTTAGCTACTGTTCTTTTATCTCCTAGTCCTGACTCCTAGTCAGACATTCTGAGTAAATGGAGTGCATACTATTTCATTTTCTATAGTTCAGGTCTGACCTTGCTTTCATGGAAATTAATGGCAAGATTCCCATTGACTTCAACAGCACAGGACTGAGTCTATAGCAATGTGTGATACCAGTTTTGGTTTATTCCTGATGACAACATTTCTACTGAGGTATTGAAGTTTTACCATTGACTTAATTGCTCATAGGTTTATGTTTTAGGATTTAATTGATTGATCAGAACCATGCAGTGCTATCACAGAGTCATAAAGGATTTTTACTAGAAAAAAACTGATGGTATGGAACAGCCTGAACATCTTATACATAATCCACATTTAAACCATGAGAATGTACATATTAAAAATATATCAAATCAATTTAAGTCAAATGTCTGTCAGGACAAAGATTTGCATTTAAATAAAATCTGTTGGTATCAATAGTATTTAAACCCCTAATTTGCATGATAATACAAACCCATCCAAACTGGCAATTAAGAATCAGTGAGACAAACATAAATAATAATATTTATGAAGATAGATATGCCATGCATTATCAAAACATTAAACAGGTTTAAGATCAATGGGAAAATGCTGTGAGGCAATAGATGATAAAATATTGTTTAAATATAGTAGAATAGCTGTTGTGTAGTTCTGAAATAAAGTGCTAATTCAGCATAGTTACTTCAGATGAATCTATGAATAATGTTAAAGTTGACCTGAAATGTTAAAACCTCAATAGTAATATGTAAGTTGCATCTTCAAGTGAATTAAGCGATACAATAACGTACCACTTACATCTCTAGAACTTCTTTCTACCTCAAAAATTGTACACTATAATAACATTAACTGTATTAACTTTGCATTCATAAGATACATTGCACACTTATAACTCATCCAGTCAACTAGAACAACTGTTCCTTTTATCAAATTAAATGCTTAATATTCTTTTTAATTATAAATTTTGAATCCATATGCTGTTCAAGGTCAGCCGAATTCTGCATTTTAAATCTTAAAGATTATTGGTATACTAGACACATATAGGCTAATTCATCTCATGGTTAATTCAAATTAATTAATCTATACAAAAATACATGATATGGTTTCTAAGAATTAAGTTTTGACATGCTCCCTGTACAGTGTTAAAAAGTGACTTTCACACTTGGACAAACTTGTAAATAGAGAACATTAAAAATATATATATATATTTTTCCCCCAGACTTTCATTAATTAAGGGCCAACTCTTGCAATCCTAATTCAGGCTTTTATCCAGATGAGACTCATGTTAACTTCAAGAAGACACTTGTCTAACTGAGGACTTCAGGATCAAATCTTTTTTTCCTTGATAATCCTGTAAAACCATAATCCTGTATTTCTGAGAGAGGTAGTTAGCTGTTAGTTTGAAGTCAGGCAGAAAGAAGGACAGAAATGCACCTTGTAGACTAACTGAATCAGGTAAATTTCTCTCTTTATAAGGTCACGTTATGTTACAACAGAAAAAAATACAACCAGAAATGCAGGTCTCTACCTTCACATCAGGACAGAGTAGGAGGAGAAAATAAAGGGTAAACTCATTTAAACACATATCTTTAGCAAATAGCAAAAGTGATCAATACAATTTTAAGAAAAAGTATATGAAAGGTAAATTATGTATGTATATGTATATTTAAATCTCTTCTGAGTTAACATGCTTATTATAATGTTTTGAGGCTATTGACAGTGATGTGCCTAAACTAACAGATAT